AGCAATGATTCTCTCTCATCATTAATGTGTCTGTCTCTCTCCCTCTCCCTTCCTCTCTCTGAAATCAAAACAAATATATTTAAAATGACATGAGAAACATCCATGAGACAATGTTAGGCTAAAAAGAGAATGCAAAAAGGATGCACCCACAGAAAACAGAAAGGAAGACCACACTCCGTTTTCAAATATTGACGCGGTTTCTCCCTTTTACTTTCACACATTTATGAAAACCCAAATGGCTTTTGTGAGAAGAACAAAACAATAAAACTAATTATAATTTAAAGAATATGTGACCTGATGCTAAACAAAATTGGTAGAACATAAAAATCCTCTACCTGGAATATTTGCCCAACAGAAGGTAACCTTCATTATTTATCAATAAAGACCACTTAGCAGAAGAGGCCACATCCTGTACACCCACTTACCACGTGAGCAGAGATGAAGCGTTAGTAGCATAACGTGCTGGTTGTAAGATTATGTGCATGTGCATGTGGTCTGGTGACTTTTGGGAGACACACTTGTTCCTGTTTGTCCTGTCCTGGACTCATGTGTTCACTTGACAAACATTTTATCAAGTATGTACCTGTGATGTGCAAACTGGGGACACCCAGATGACCAGGACCCGTGATCCTAACCCCAAAGAACCTGTAGTTTAGACTCAGAAATATCCCAATCGAGAGTGGTGAGTGCTGCACAGTCGGGACTGCAGGGACTGCGAGCCGGAGCCGAGGGGCCGCCAGAGGGAAGTGATGAAGAGGAAAGGCCCTCAGAGGAGAGGAGGGAGATGGGTCCCCAAGGGAGACCGGGACCCACCTGGAGAAGTTAGCAGTCATGGTCGCAGCTTAACACAGTCCTCACTGACTGGCCTTCTGAAGCCAGTCTCTAGAGCCAAGTTCAAGACAAACTGCCAACTCTTAGACTTGACTTTTCTATTGCTTCCTGTTGGCAAAGCCCCATTTTATTTGGTCTTAGGTGGCACTTTGCTCCCAGCCTGCTAATAACTCCGGGAGCTCTGTGTGTGAGTGTCAGCTCTGGGACGGGCAGCGGCAGAGGAGCCGCCCAGAGCTGCCCAGCTCTGAGGCAGGTCCACTCACATGGGCTCTCCCTATGGGCTCGCTCTGCCCGTGTCCACTGCACACATGGGCAGCCTTGCTGAAGTCAGGCTTGCAAGGGGACTCGGTAGGTACAGGCCTGTGGTGCAATTCCAGGGACACAGGAGAGTCCCCTCCTCAGTGCTCCCCTACCTGCCTCTGGTGCCTGAGTCCCACCGACCACACACTTTCACTCCACAGTCGCTGTGCAGGGCGCACCAGGATATGTGTGTCGGGGCAGCTTGTATGCTGGGAGCCCGAGTGTGGTGCTGATGGAGAGAGATGACCCTCGGCCATTACGGGTGGTGTGGGGCAGCTTAGGGCTTTGTGGGCCTGAGAGTGAGGAGATGGAGGTCCTGAGAACAGATCCTTTACTTCATGCAATGAATACTACTGTGTGTCCTCTGCGGGTGCTGCTCCCGGCCCTGGGCAGCAGTCCTGTGTCTCTGCTTGCCAGGTGTGACACCCGGCCCACCTGGGGTAGGACCCAACGCTGACACACCTCACAGGGGTCACGGCTCATCGCATCTTAGTTCTAACCCCTCGAATATCACCTGGCTCTGCCCCAGCCTCTCCCGCCGCTTGTGTCACCCTTTATTGGCGACTCCCCTCGTCCCCATCCCCGCTCACCGGCACGGACTTGGAGCTGCACCCGGTCGCTGAGATTGGAGAGGCTGGTCTGGCACATGTACTCCCCGCTGTCGTTCACGCTGGCTGATTCGATGAAGTAGCTGGAGGTCTGGTTTGGCAGGAGGTGACCATTGTGCCACCACCGTGTGGAACTGCTCCCCTCGGCCTGGGCCCCCTGGCACCTCAGAGTCACATTGTCCATCTCGAGCAGCCTGTCCCATTCCGGATGCAGGGACACCACCGCCTTCTGGACACCTTCTGAGGAGACAGGAGAATGTG